TTAACTCATAAAAGCGCTAGTAATTTACATCCTACCTTCAACCCTGGAGAATGTTGAGCTGAGTTTACTGTTGCTCACAATTGTGTATCAGCAGCCAAAACAGACACATTGTGGTGCTGGGGAGGGAATCTGATCTTAACCCCCCTTTTTTCTCAATCATAAAACATCCAGCTTCCCAAAAGTGCCCTGGGTAGTCTTCAAATGTGATTTCTCAGATTCACCGACTCCTGAGCTGAATGTAGTTCAGTCTTTACCACCAACAAGAAGGGAGGATGTTTCTCTGCCATTTCTATTTTCAGATTTTAATTTCAAATTTTCCCCAGTGAAACCTACAGCCTCAGAGTTTAGGTATATTCAGGACAGGTGGTCAGTTCCTGGCATTTGTCACATGAAACCAAATCTACACAATCTGAAGTCAACGTTGTTTAGGGAAAATGGCAGGATCAAGGGCTCTCAGACAGGCGGTACCAGGAGGGGTTCCCGGGGACGCCACCTGCTGAGTTCCTGGCCCAGGCCTTTCTGCACACCTGACAGCTGAGGACTCCTCCTGTGTCTCTTCTCAGTTTGTGGCCGTAGCCTCCCCAGAAGGCAGAGCCCTGAAGGCCCGCAGAGGAACAGAGAAAACTGACCTCTGGGAGGACTGAGGGCCATGACAGGAGGAAGCCCTTACCAGTCCCGTAGTAACACAAGCGTTCTCAGCTAATTATCCTGTCCGGGGTTTGTTTTGATTTTTCATCCTAAACCTCATTTTACATAATCCTGACCCTTAATAAACAAAATAATTATTTTATGAATAATAGCATTTATCAATAAATTTAAATTATCAATCAATTAATTATCAATAAATAAAACTCCTTTAATAAATGTTGTTGAAATGGAAGTGTAACTGACATTCATGTAAAATTTAAGGCTCTGACTCTAGTTTTATGAAATGTTGATATTTTAAAACCGAGACTGCCTTGGTTCCTGGGCCCAAAACATCCTCAGGGCCTGGCATGGTGTCAGGGCTTACTGTCACACTGGGATGACTTTGTTGTTACTTCCCGACTGCAACACACTGAGGTGGGTCACTGATATTTACTAGCTCTGTGTTACTGTCGGGAGAAGAGGGCCTTAGCGCTCAGAATTCACTTCTTAGCCCTGGGAACAGTGCTGTGTTGCTGCTGTCTGTGGCTGCCTGACAACTACCCCCAAATGTAACGACTTAAGAAAATGATTTTAGTTTGCTCCCCTTTTCATGGGTAGGAATTTGAACAGGACCGGATGTGGCAGCTTGTCTGTGTGTCATGTGGGGTCAACTGGAGTGGCCCAAGGGGTGAAGGACGTCCCTCTAAGAGGCTCACCCACATGGCTGACTGTTGGCTGAGAGCTTGGCAGGGACTGTTGACCTCGCCCTGCCAACTTGGTGGTCTTGGGGTTGGTTGGGGTCATCTGACTTCTTATATGGCAGCTCAGGGCTTCCAAAGAGAAAGCCAGGAGGGGAAAACTGCCCTTAAGACTCAGACTCCCCTCGACACAAGGGTTTGTAAAAAAATAGAATAAGAATAAAAAAAAAGAAAAGAAGAAAAAAATTTTAAAAAAATAAAAAAATAAAAGACTCAGGCTCAGAGACTGGCATGGTGTCACTCCCACCATATTCTGTCATGAAAGCAGTCGCAGAGACCACTCAGATTCCAGGGAAGTGGACATCGACCCTACCACTCTGTGCGAAGAGTGTCACAGATCAGGGGCCACCTTTAATCCACAATAAGAAAAACTTGCTGATTGCCAATATAGGCCCCCAAGATTGTATACATCCCGGCCTCAGGAGGGCAGGGAGTGAGCGTGGGCAGAACATAGCCCAGACCCTGGATTTGCTCCTGGGCTTGCTACTGGTATCCCGGTAAGGTAATGAGCAAGTTGCAAATACTGGATAAATGCTGTTGTCAATTGTACCTGCCACATTCCCTTAAATATGTCACCACACTGGGGACAAATACAATCAGTGAGTCAGAGAATCTCTATCAAGCAGACATTACACTAGGTGATAGGAACACGACAGTTCACAAAATACCCTGCCATAGCCCTTGCCTCATAGAGGGTATGGTCTAGTGCAGAAGACAGTTATTTATCAAATAATTTCTTTAAAAAATGAAAAGTTACATCTGATAGACGTGCCGTAAAGGAAAGATGTATGGTGCAGTGAGAGGTGGAGATCAGGGAAGACTTCCCCAAAGAAGTGAGGACTGAACTAAGATCTAAAAGATGGGTGATGAGGGGGAGGATTGAACATCCTGGCAGTAGAAATGGGCTTCAGCAAAGTGCCTGGGCAGAAGGAAACTTGGTGAGGATGGGAAGCCAGAGAAGACCAGTGTGCTAGAGAGGAGTGAGCGGTGAGGGGAAGCCAGTGCAAGCTGAGGCTGGAGAGGAGAAAGGGGCCGAGACCGCAGGGTTGTGGAGACCATTGGGTGGTATGTGGACACCTTGCCCGGTGCCTAGCAATTTCGATCCATTCATCCAGCCATCCATCTGTTCTTTCACCTACCCATCTGTCCACTCACCATCCACTCAGTCAACAAAACCTGCCTGGTCACTCACCTTCCATGTGCTGGAGGTATAGAGATAAACAAGACCACTTCATCTCTACCTTTACAGAGCCCACGTCCACCCCTACCGGGTGTTCGAGTCTTTACTACCTTTACCAGTCAACGAGATGGCTAAAGGCCTCTCTGGTTCTGGTATCCAAGGATAACATCTCACAAACCTCACACTTAATTCACCCCCACTTCCAGTCATGCTTATTCGAAAATACATCTTCTGGTCACAAAGAGACCTTGGTGCTAGATCAGGAATGATCTGACCCAGCTGCTCCTGGAAATCCCTCAGGGACTACCAACAGTGATGCCACACTGTGCTGTCCCTCATGCCACAGGGGCAGGTCTAGCCACATCCTGGGGACAGTCATAGGCTACTTCCCTCTTCTGTCAAAGACATTTTTTTCTTCATAGCCCTGCTGGCTCCAATCACATAATTCTCCCCGGGGGCGCTCTGATAGATGTCTACTATAAGAGAATTGTTCTGCTAGTCAATTCAACTAGACTTAGCTGAGCTCACGTTAGTTCCATTCTGTTCAGCGGCACTCAGCTCAACTCAGCCCAGTCCATCCATCCATCTGTCCATCTATGCTTTTAACAAGTATTCTTCAAGTGCTTTTCTGTTTCAAAGCCTATCTTGGACCTGGGGATCCTGCAGGGGTTGCATACACCAACCAACTCATTTCCCCTTTCCAATCAAAAGGGTATCAGTGTATGGCGGTGGAGAGAAGACCGGACTTAGAGCGGGACTTCCCTGTTTGCAACTTTTCCTGGTACTTATTTACTGTCTTGGGCAATATCATCAACCTGTCTGAGCCACAGTTTCCTTGTCTTATAGCAGGAATCATAATACCTACGTTGTGGGAGATTTTTCAGGATAAAATTCATAGAAAGCACTCAGAAATGGTATCCATTCCCAACATAGTAGATGACCATAGACAAAGGGACATCACTGGGAAATTTCTAAACACTGCAGACCAGAAAAGATCCTAAGGGTTTTCACAGAGACAAAATAGGTCAATTACAAGGACCAGAAAACACACTGACTACAGACTTTTAAAAGCACAACAACAATGGACAAATTTCCTGTGCTGGGTAAGATGGCAAGCACACCTCCACCCAGACCCTCCATGGATTGCCCTGTAAAACCTGGACGGAAGGATACAGCGGCTGTTTGAGGACTCTGAAAGGTAAATAGTAGCAGGCAGATTGAGGAAGAAAACCAGAATTCAAAATACTGGCGAATCAGCAGAGTGTGTATCATTTTTCCCTTTGGAATACCCAGTCTGGACTCAGGGCAGTATGACAGTGATGCCAGCAATAGCTTGAGGTGCCAAAAAATGAAATATCATTCAGCACGGAGAAGGAACAAATTATGGATTCATGCATAGAATGGATGATTTGTAGACCCATTTTGCTAAGTGAAATAAGCCAGATCCAAAAGACTATTGTATTATTCCATGTAGTGAAGCTTCCGGGAAAGCCCACGCTATAGGGACAGAAAACAGATCAGTGATTGCTAGGGGATGAGGTGCAGGGAAGATCTGACTATGAAAGGAATGGGGCATGAGGGCATTTTTACAGGGAAAAAATGGTATCCATTAATTCCTCTCAGTTTTTATAGTCCTCTCTGGACGTAAAGGAAAGACTAAGTGAAAAAGACCTAAAACTCACCACGACACCTGGAAAAGAGGAGAACCCACGAGGGAGGAGGGCACCTACCACTATAATGTAGTCCTGACTCTTTTTCTGCCCTTGATTCACCATATTCCTCAAAGATCCCTTTGACACCACTGCTGAATTCTTTTGGGGAAATTGACATTTACCTAAGTTACTTTGTTACATCCCTGGGCTCAGGCTGACCCTTGATTTCTTGTGTTCAGAATCAGGACTGTGCAGCTGAGCGCATCTTCACATTTCCCTCCGTGCTATGCCTGCCCACTCCCCTTAAGCAGAGAAAAAATATGGGGCACAGAGGGAATGGTGGCAGCCCACCCAGCCCACCAATCCAGCAGAATCCTGGTGGAAGCAGAGTTAGGGACGTCCTATAGTATTGATAATGGAGGCCAGGACAAGAGGGAAAAAAAGAGCAGCAGTACATTCAAAGGTAAGGACACAGCAAAGAAAGTGAAGCCACATCAGTGCGTGTTCTCCCCAATCTTTTCTCTCCACAACATAGACTATGGTGTCATTAAACATCCATTCACAGAGGTGCCAACTCCAGTCTAAAAATAGATGGGCAACTCAGACATGGGATTCCTGGCGTTCTGCATCCTCAGGGTCCCTAAACTTGGGAAAGCATTCCCTTTTATCTCTCATTGTTTTCCACTCGTGGCTGAAATCAGACCCAGGTTTCTTGTCTAAAAAGATTACCTCCCATTCAGCTGCTCCCTAGAGTTATCGCAAGTGAATATCCTCTTCTTTCAGGTACTCAATGGTCTCGGATGCAGAAACAGAAAGCATTTTCATGGAGCCCATTCACCTCTCCTCGGCCGTTGCAGCTAAACAGATCATCAAAGAAGGTAACACCATCCGAAGCCGGGTGGAAGTAGGGAGGGTCCACGGGTCATCAGGAGACGGTCAGAGGGGCCCATTGGAAGGTCTCAATGTGCTTCCCATCAGATTCAGAGGAGCAGATCCAAAGAAGGAAGCTCCTCCAACCCCTGCTCATCAGCCTTCATGGGTCAGAGGTGAAAATTACCATGCATCAGTGTGAACACTTCTCTAGTCAAAAGCCAGGGAGGCAGTTCCAATCTGCCCCTAAGGCCTCTCATTCAATTTCTCAGTTAACCTCAGGGGTCCTGGGGTGGCTTACGCTAGAGACTCAGACCTGGGAGCCCAAGAAATGGCTAGGAGCATCCAGACAGTTCTGTTCAAGGGAATGTCTAGATTTAAACCTGCATTTCTACAGTGCTTAAAGGTGATTTTCAAACTGAAGTATGAATGGGGAGGAGGTAGGGAAAGGTGGGGTAAGAAGGGATGATAACATTTACACAGTAAATTGTATTTTTTTTTAAGCTTCCAATTTGCAAAGACTTTTTTCCTTTTCTTTAAATTGAAATATAGTCAGTTTACAATGCTTTATCAATTTCTGAAGTACAGAGTAATATTTCAGTCATACATATACATACATAGATTTGTTTTTGTTTTCTTTTTCATTATAGGTTACTACAAGATACTGAAAATAATTCCCCATGCTATATAGTGTAAACTTGTTTATTTCATATGTAGTGGTTAGTATCTGCAAATCTTGAACTCCCAATTTATCCCTTTCCACCCGCTTTCCCCCCAGTAACCATAAATTTAATTTCTATATCTGTAAGTTTGTTTCTACATAGTAAACTTTAGAGCAGAAAACATACTGTATTTCATTCAAGGATATTCATTCCAAATGGATGGATTTTTTTTTTTCTAATCAACTTAAGGCAAATAGCCTTTCACGATTTCATTCTTCTCCTTTCTCCTCCCTTTGCCCTGGGTGTCTGTCTCACTTCTGGTGGGTAAGGTGGGATAAGGGAGTCCTGCTAATGACACAGGGTCCACCTGGCCTTTGGGCTTCATCTGGCAACTACTGCTAGTGGTCATGGTCACTTCCCTGGTGATGAGACCCACACATGCTGCTCCTTCTCCATGTAACCCCAGCTCTTTCTCAGTCCCTTGGCTCTTTGAGTCCCCACCAGGGTCCCTGAGGGTGTCTGAATCTCCTGTATACCTCATGAGGAACCAGAAATTTTATCTGATGTTGCTTGTTGATCTGGGAACCTATGAGGCCCCATCTTCTCAAAGAACTACTTTTTCCCTCTTTTCTTTTACCACCTCACCTGGGGTCTCTGCTAGCTTGCTCTAAGCCAAGCCAAGGTGTCTTGAGCCCAGTCTGGTTCTTTCCAAATTTCTCCCAGTACCACCCTAGCCCCGAAAGTTCTTTTTTCCTCCTGTGTGGTTGGGACTTTCCCTAACCTTCCATCCTGCGTCATCCCTGCTCTGTGCTTTGCTCTCTGGACCACTCTCCAGCATTTGGTTCTTGATAAGCAACAGTCTGGCTTTAAAGGTTGTGAGCAAACCACATCCTCTCTTTGAAAGCTTCACTTTCAGGTCTATAGGATGCTAGAGATATTCAGCGTTTAGAGACAGACCGAAACTGGGCAATTTCATCCTAGGTCTTATCCACTCTCCTCATCTCTGGGAGTGAAGCCTAAGTTTCATTTGTCTTAGAGGCTGAAGGGTGATGGGGAAAAAAAAATACATATATTACAGAAAAAAGAAAATGTATCAGGTGATACTTCAAAACATTGCCCTACTCACTAGTGATTAGGGAGGTAAAAATGGACGTGGAAGAACCCTCTGATTTCAGGAGAGTCTGCTTATGCCACACATCTGAGAAAGAGCAGCGGAGAAATGGCTGGCGTCACTCTCTCCTGAAGAAACCTCAGGGAGTAGAAATAAATGGGAGGAACTGATGCAGGGAGGGAAGTGGGATTGGAACCGGCTGAGGTGTGGACCAGAGACCTAGGGAAAGTAGGAGTTCCCAGTGGGGATGAGGGGGCTGAGCCATTTGCTTTCAAACTGGAAAGGGAAGAAATCAAAACAACTTTCCTTTATAAATAGCTGAGGAAGACAACGCTGTATATCTTAATGAGCCAGCGGGGAGTCTTATTGTTTGTTTGGTTTGGTTTTGTTTTTTTTGCATGTAATAGAGGAAAAATATTTAAGTAGTGGAGGGAAAGAGAGGGACTTTTACATTTGCCGTGTAAGACCCCAGGAGAGCCAGGACTGATGGAGAAAATAGGACCGCTTCATCTATTTTTAAACAAAATAGAGCACTGGGATTGCAGAGGTTTTCTTCTTTCTGCTTTTGAAACAGATATCAAAGAACATTTAGAGCTGAGACCTGATGCAGGGATGTGGGGGCCCACCAAGCAGTTTAGGCAAGGGAGAAGGGGAGAGGGGAGCTTTATGGACATGGAGTCCTCAGCCCCGGGCAGAGCCCCGGACTCCAGGATCCTCAGGCCTTGAGTAGCGAGCCCAGCTTACAGACACCTGTTCATTCTGCCAAGGGTTGGGCCACCTCTGTTTGCCAAATGTGGCTGTGTTCCTCACCCAACAGGGAAAGAGGTGGCCCGTGCAAGGGGTTATGGCCAACATAGAAAACACTTTCTTATTTAAATTCTTCCTTCTTTCTCTCTAGTCAGTATTTTTTGGCTGCTAAGTGGAAGGAAAGGTTTTGCTCTCTGCCATCCTTTTATATCTCCTTAGAGAAAGAAAAGATCTTACTTTCCCCAAAATTTGATAAATTGGGAGTAAATCCATTAAGAGGAGAAGATGAAAGTTCACTCGAGAGGCAGGTGAATAGAATTTGAATTCAGAGTTTGAGCTTATCTGGGCTGTAGTCAGGAAGGCCCCGAGTGCTGTTTGGCGACCAGCATCAGAGCTCATGGCAAACCTTTGCCACCTGTCGGAAAGCTGGGAGGCTGAGGATCACAGGAGCCTCCCCTCTAGTCGGGGTGGATGGGGAGAAGCAGACAATAAATGAAAGAAGTAAATTAAATGTGTATCAGAAGGTGATCTAGGGTAAATGACTGCTGAAAGTTTTACTTCTCCCAGAGTTATTTGCATTCCATATGTAAAGGAGTCAAACTAACAGAACGAATTATGTGATGAAAGAATGCTGTGTGTTCATTTGGGAAATGCTTCCAAGCATCTATTTTGTGTGGGTCACTGTGGGATTTATAAACATGAATCGGACATATACCAGGTCTTTCTCACACCTGGGTGTAAGAATTATCAGCCAGTTTTAGAGAAGTGGGGGAGGGAGTGAGGGAAACTGGTGTCCCTTCTCCTACACCAGTACACCTGCGAGGCTGCTAATTCTGAATGCAAGGGTCCAGCCACTGCAGGCTCCCCCGGGGCCCCCATTAAGTCCTTCCTGGCAGATCAGATCCTGTTGGCATCCAGCCCATGCCCAGGGTCCCGGCAGCAAACGAGCCGAGTGTGCGTTCTCCCGAGGAGCAGGGAAGGCCGCGGTGTTCCTCTTTGATGACAAGGCTGCCTGTCCCCGTAGAACTCAAGCCGCGGGGCGTCAGAGCCGAGGCAGAGTGTGCGGGCATGCTGGAGTCCGCCGAGCAGCTGCTGGTGGAGGACCTGTACAACCGCGTCAGGGAGAAGATGGACGACACCAGCCTGTACAACACCCCCTGCATCCTGGACCTCCAGAGGGCCTTGGTCCGGGACCGCCAAGAGGCCCCCTGGAACGAGGTGGATGAGGTCTGGCCCAACGTCTTCATAGCGGAGAAGTGAGTCTGACGCCTGGGGGTCCCGACCCTTTGTCCTACCTCTCCGGGTGGGTACTGCCTGAGGGAGAGGAGATGCCCCCAACCTTCACCAAAGGCTCCAATATCTCCATCCAGCAAATGGACGCTGCTGCACCACTCTCCCAGCCCCAACCTGGGAGGAAGGCCCCGCCCCCACCTGGGAGGAAGGCCCCGCCCACCCACCTGCACGCAGCGATCCCCAGGAAGTATTGCCGGCCTGACTGCTTATCCTCCACGCTCCCGCCAGGGCTCTCTGCAGCCTTGTCCCTCCAGTGCCTTCTCCGGGCCTCCCTCCCTGCCCAGTGCCTTGCCGACACATACCTCACTGTCACCACTGTCCCATGACATCCACAACAGCTATCTCATGGCACTTTCAGAGCTATTGACAATACTGACTTTCTATATGTTTGCCAACTTATGAAAATGTCCACAACATATTAAGAGGATAAATTGGTTATACAACAACGTATATACAGTAATCGGGTCATATACAGTGTGTGTGTCTGTGTGTGTATGTGCTTTTGCATAAACAACAAATTAGAAACAAACGTAATAAAGTTTCCAGTCCTTCTCTCTAGGAGGTGATTCTAAAAGTGATTTTCATTTACTTCCTCAAGTTTCTTTTGAATTGTACAAATTTCCTACAGTAAACCTTTATGGTTTTTATAATCAGAAAAAAAAATGTTATTTTAAAAAAGTTTATCAGTGGTTTCCAGAACAAAACCCCAAACAACTCACTCATGTCCTATTCTTTCTTTGTGGTTTTGTCAGTGCATAAATGGTACTGATAGGTTGGTTTGTGAAATTCATTTTTTGCTGATCTATTGACTACTTAATGAGATGTTTTCCCAATGTAATTACCTATATATCTAGAGGCAAGGGAGGGAATTTGGGGTCCCCAGGGCAGACAAGAGGGAAAATAGCTCTGGACACTGGGTCTTGTGCTCCACTGTGAAGTAATCAGTCACCCAGGGCCTGAATCTCAGAGCTGGGGACCAAGTCCTGAGTGATCTGTAATTAGCTCTGTGAAACCAGAAACATTCACATCGTGGTCAGCAGGGACCCCAGGCATCTCCAGATATCCCCAGCTAAGGATCTCTGCTCCTTCTTGGGCGACCCTGTCCTCAAGGCCTCTTCAAACAAAGCCCCACCCATTCCACTGCAGTAAAAAGCTCTGAGCCAGAATCCCAAACCCCAGTTCTTATTCAGAGTCTTTTTCTCCTCTCAATCCTGGAAAGTCATAAAAGCTGTCTGATTCATGTTTACAATCTTCAAGTGGGAATAAAAACAGTTGGATTCTGTCTCCCTCTTGAGTTTATTATTAGGATAAAATTAAATAATGCATGTGAGAGCACCTTGAAAAACATAGCATGCCATATCAATGTGAAGTACACCTAATTTTATTATTAAATTTTATCATTATTTTGGCGTGCCACTTTTGTGTCTTGATGAATGTCCATCCCCAAGGCATGGGATTTTAACCTAGAGATTGCTGGACCATTCAAAGGGTTCCTTACACATCAGTCTTGTTCTCCTCTTTCTCCTGCCCTCCCCTGCCCAGCTCCCTGTCCCTTCTCTTTCTTGCCATGGCCAAGTCACTGGTCCTTTTTTATAACAATATTTGCGGTGAGTCCCAGGCACATCGGGGAGCAGAGGAGGAGGCATTCTCCCAGCGGTGACCCTCCTGACCTGGTTGAAGCAGGCTCCCCATCTCAGTGGTAAGGCATCTTTCTAGTTCTGACTTTGGCAAAAAGCATCCTTGCCTCTTTCCCTCCAGGAGCGTGGCTGTGAACAAGGCGAGGCTGAAGAGGCTGGGAATCACCCACATCCTGAATGCTGCTCATGGCACTGGCGTCTACACTGGGCCTGAGTTCTACACCGGCCTGGAGATCCAGTACCTGGGTGTGGAGGTCGATGACTTCCCGGAGGTGGACATCTCCCAGCATTTCCGGAAGGCAGCGGAGTTCCTGGATGAAGCCCTGCTGACTTACAGAGGTGAGGGGGAGTCTGCGGGCCCCAAGCTGCTGTAATTCCACAGGGGGAGCAGCCATGTAAGGAATGGTATGAAAACCTCCAGATCATCTGCTATCTGGGGGTTATCTGTCTTAAGACAGTTTTTTCTGATTCTAACATGAGGGCAAAGGAAAGGACCATCATTCATCCCATAAGCAATCATTGAGGGCCCACCACATGCCCAGTGCTATTCTGGGTGCTGTGCTGACAAATACGAAGTTCCTGGTCTTTAACATTTACGCTGTAGTGAAGGAAGGAAAAATCAGAAAGAAAAAGAAAAATGTCAGGTACTGATCAGTGTGAAGCAGAAATGATAACTGGGATGATGTGTTGGAGTGTCTGGCTAGCTCCTTTGAGAGGGTGGTTGAGAAGAGGACATTTAAGCTGAGTGACAAGAAAGAGCTAGTCAGGGAAAAATTGGAAGGAGAGCATTCCTGGCCAAGCAACGTGTTAGTGCAGAGATTTCTAAGTGGAACAGGCTTGCTGTCTTCAGGAATCACCAGGCGGGTGTGGGTGAGCCTGGTGGGTGCAGGCTACAGCGGCAGGGCCCATGGTGCAGGAAGTTGAGGGCCCAGGTGAGGGAGCTGAAAGGCACCTGGATCTGATCTGCATCATGGAAAACTCATTCCCCGGGCTCTGGAGACAGATCGGGTGGGGAAGTGAGAGTGGGGGTGAGGAGATTGACACGGAGGCTATCTCTGTTGTTGAAGGGGGACGATGGGAGATTGTCTAGAGAGCTGATGCGATGTCTCAGTGAGGATTTTGACCAGGAGAGGCTGGAGCTCATGCAGTGGGAGCGAGTGGGAGTTTAGGAGCTGGTGTCCAAAAACCTAGGCTTGAGTTCCGGACTTGCTAGCCTCTCTCTGCACCACGGGACCTCGGGCTATTTCCTTTATCCCGGGGAACCTCGCTTTCCTTACCTATAGGACCAAGATAAAGAGACCTACTCCTCTGAAAATTGCTGTGAGGATTAAAATTGTAAAAATGCATGTAAGAGCTTACTTACGGCAGAACCAGGCAAGTAATAAATGTGTCAACAGTTACAGCCATTACTATAAGGAATATTATTAATGATTCCTGGGAAGGCCATTTTCTGTCATCACCAATGGCCAGGCCAGGAAGGGTAACTTCTAATGGAAAATGATATGGATATACATATATATATGGGGGTGGTGGTGGTGGTGGTGAGCAGAGACAGAGAGAGACAGTGAAATACAGAGAGACAGAGAGGGGAAATATAGAGAGAGAGAGAGACACACATTTTATTAAAATATAATTTATAAATTTAGAAATGCTATGCGTATCTATTTTATATATATATATATATATAAAACGTCTATAGTTATATAAAATGGTTTTCTCCCCTTTTCAATGTTTTAAAAAAAAACAAACCCTACTTTGAAGAATGTATTCCTTCTCTCTAGTGTGGACTTGGGTGTGTCTGCCAAATTGCTGTGGGAGGGGGATGTCTTCGGCTGCTTTTCCCCGGCCTGGCGGTGAGGGGCCCGGGCCAGCTTCCCAGCGGAGCCCGGCGGGGACAGCTGGGGAAACGTGCACAGGAGGGGAGGGAAGCATAGGCGCGGCCAGAGGCCGGCGGGGCTCGCGCAGCATCCCCAGTCTGTGAGGCTGCTCGCAGAGCGGAAAGGCATCCCCAGAAGCGGGGGAAGCTGCCGGGAGGGTGGCGGGGAGGCGGCGGGCTGGGCGTCCGGGAGCTGCGCGGCTGGAGCAGGGAAGTGTCCCGTCGCGGGGAGAGGAAGACGACAGGGCGCCCTCATCGGGCTGGGTACCCTCGCCTGGGTAACCCCCGCCCCCAGGCCCCGCCAGAGGGAGTGCAGCAGGGCCTGCCGGCGAGTCCAGCGGCTAGGACTGGCTGGTCCCCATCTTTTGCCCGGCCCGTGCGTCCTGGTGCGTCCTGCAGATCATCTCCTCTGTCCTTGCCATCAGCCGCCTTCAGCCTCACCCTCCCTGATCTCCGCATCCCTGCAAGGCGGGAAAGGAGCATATCCGTATTGTCGTGGTTGCCTTTGTGGGTAGTATTCCTACTCCACTGAAGACAATTGTCACCACCCCCAGAGCCTTATTTTCTGTGGTTTTTCTCCACTCTAAGATGCTTCCAAGTCAGTTCTTAACAAGGAGGAAGGCTAAAGGTACACCTGGTTCTGGGCATTTTACATAATAATCACAAGACCGCCAGGAGAGAGGCTGATATTTTACAAATTGGGAAATCCCTACTCCTGGAAGGTCAAGTGACTGCCACCATGTAATAATCAAGATTCCCTTGCTTGCCAGTAAGTTAGAAACCATCTCGAACTACTTAACAAGCAGCAAAGGCATTAATTATAACCAGACAAGGAGAAATTCAAAGACAGGAAGAAGGGCCAGCATGGTCTGGAGCAAGGACTGGACAACCGCAGGACTCTTGGGTCCATGTTTTCTTTCTCTTTCTCTTTCTACCTCAGAGAGGAGGCCCTCCTTAGGCCTGACAACAACCACGAACGTCCTGCCTCAGTTGCATTTCCAAATTCCCTGGAGGAAGAGTTTGTCTGGCAAGGTGCTTTGTCTACCCTGAATTCTAGGCACGGTGGCAAGGCAGGTGGCAAGTACTTCTTGTTTTCCAGAGATACAGAGAAGGGGACAGTTCTGAGGAAAAGGAGAAATACGAGTTGGGAGGACACAGCACAAATGCCTGCCATATGAAGGCATCTCGAGAATGTGAGGAAACTGGAACCCAGTCTTACTCAAGTCCGGGGCCGCCTCCACTAGCTCTCCTCTACAAATCTTGAAGGAGAAAGACTACATCTAGACAGACCAGCCCCCACCCCAAATCAGCTCTGCTGCGAATCAAAATGGTGACCGCAAATTAGAGAAGGACTCTCTTCCTCAAGCCATTTTATTGCTGGAAATTTTTTATCATAACCAAACCAATCGACTTTGAGGTGCAAGGCATCCCCTGGAGCTGTGTTGAGCACAAGCTAGCCTTCAGTCTGGCCTTGTGCTGAGCAGAGAAAACAGGGAATCCTGTCGCTGGTCTGGCTGAAGTGGGTAGGAGCCCTGAGTCTGACCCCCCACCCCAGCCTCTGCCTTGTCCCTCACACTGTCCCTGAGGCTCCTTGGAGGAATCTCAAGTGCAAGGGACGCAGCACAGAAAAGCATGGCGCCTCCAACCTGGTCTCCACCAAACTGAGCCTGAGTGTATTTGATACCCTAAGAGGAGGCCAGGCTGTTTGTTCCCTCAGGTGTCCCGAAGTCAGCCAGCCTAGTAACCACCTCCGGAGGAAGCCAGTGAGACTTGTACTAACGGTAGTAAATTGTGGCCTGGTCAGCCAGTTACAAGAGGTCCTTGATGAGGGACAGCTAAGCCCTCAGCTGAAGGTGGGAGGGGATAAGACTCTTTCAGTGGCTTTGATTCTGCTTACTCACCTCCCTCTACTGGCTGCTGGCCCTTGGCAATAAGGCCTTTCAGCATCATTGGACCTCAGGTCCCCTCAAGTCTTGCCTTGGTCTCTGACCTCTGACGTGACAAAGACATGATCTTAACTGGTGCAAAAATATAATAATAAAAGTCACCTGCATCCCATATTATAAGATAGGACTCTTCACTGATTTAATAAGTATCCCCGAAGACTGTTGGCAAATAGATTGATGGCAGCCTGGAGGGAGATCTCTAGTGGTCCTAGCATGCATTTTAAACAGTTACCAGAATGAAGGCATAGAAGGCATGTTTGTCATGTTTATGAAGGATGCAAAGCAGAGGGAGAGGCGAGGGGATAACTGCACTATTGAATGGTAAAGACTCGCAAAAGCTTCTGTAAGGCCATAAGGACAGGCTCTATCTGCCAAAAACATGAATTGGAATTTGTAAAGTCATCCTCACATTTCAAAAATACAAGCTAGAAGAGACATGACTTAATAGCAATTTTTTTAGAAAAGCTTTGTAGGTTTCAGCTGATAAAAAGATAATCTGAGTTCGTTGTGTGATACATCCACTCACATCGGAAGCTCAGATGGCATCAGTGAAGGCCCAGTGCCCAGAGCAAGAGTGGTGAGGGGTCCACTTGACTCTGTATGGGTCAGGCCAGGCCTGAAGTAGCTTGCTCCATACTGACACAAATTCCTTAGGAAAAAATGGACAAATTCAAGTTAGACTTGAAGAGAGTGGCTGGTGTAATAATGGAACATGAAAAAAAAAATGTTTGGATAATGATCCAAAGACCCAGAATAGCCAGGAAAAGAAAGAAAGAAAAAAAAAATTTTAGCGAAGTATATGACAGTTATCTTCTTACAGATTTTTGTATAAAAGGCCCAGTTCATACAGATATATTTATTATTAACCCCAGAATGTCAGAGAAGAGCACTGGGTGCCTGTTATGTAAAGTTATCCTTTGCCCCAACATGGGAAAGAATTTTCCAAAAAATTAGTTGGATCTAATTATGGGGTGAGAGGGGTGTGTGTGTATGTGTCTGTGTCTGTCTGCTTGTCTGAGATACTGAGCTCTCTGTCACTGGAAGCATCCAAGCATCCAGCAGAGGCTGGATGATGGATGACCCAGCATCAAGGATGTTGTAAAGGGAATTCTCAAGTTTACACTGTGGCTTGAGGTACTTTCCAATGCTGAGATTCTATTTTTCGGGATTCACTCATCTTAGCCTCATTCCTTTTCTATTTTCTTTCCCCTTTTCCCTTATTCTTTGATTTTTCCTCCCTCTGATGCTCAGTTTGGTCAAAGAACATGCACTTCAGGGTCTCAAAACTGGGGACAGTGGCTAGTTTCTTTGTTTCCCACCCACTCCCCACTCTCTGCCCACATTCAGAAAATGCAGAAAATGTTTCCACCAGCACGGGGCAGCCTCCCTGCTCTGTCTGACATCTGTAACTTGGGGACAATGATGCTTGTCCCTCAGGGGACTTGAGCATGGATGACTATCAGAGGTCCAAAGGAAACATTAAATCTAGCACATGAAAATAATGCCTTAAAAGAAGAAAATACAAGGAAGCTACTGTGGTTACATCACTACCTCTTGTGTCTTCTTCTCAGGGAAAGTCCTGGTCAGCAGCGAGATGGGCGTCAGCCGCTCAGCCGTGCTGGTGGCCGCCTACCTGATGATCTTCCACAACATGGCCATCCTGGAGGCCCTGATGACTGTGCGCAAGAAGCGGGCCATCTACCCCAACGACGGCTTCCTGAAGCAGCTCCGGGAGCTCAATGAGAAGCTGATGGAGGAGAGAGAAGAGGACTTCGGTCGGGAGGGGGGAGGAGAGGAGGCAGAGGAGGGAGAGGATGCAGGAAGCACGGTCGGGGCCAGAGTGCACGCCCTCACGGTGGAGGAGGAGGACGATGCCACCAGCCACCTGAGTGGCTCCTCCTTGGGGAAGGCCAGCCGGGCCTCCAAGCCCCTCACCCTCATCGATGAAGAGGAGGAGGAGAAGCTATATGAGGCGTGGAAGAAGGGGCAGGGCCTCCCCACAGGCAAGGCCCCCCAGGGCGGAGACGGCAGTTGCTCAGCCTCCTCTGGCCGGGGCGAGGAAGAGCCTGAGGACGAGGATGTGGAGCGAATCATCAGGGAGTGGCAGAGCCGGAACGAGAGGTACCAGGCAGAAGGGCACCGGAGATGGGATCGGGAGGAGGAGGAGGAGGAGGGTGATGACGGCTCCTTCGTGCAGAGAAGACGGAGGCACACCCTGAGTGAGAGCAGCACCTCCGAGAGCGTGAGCAGCCATGACATCCGGGTCCTGAAGCAACAGCTGGAGATGAGCAGCCTGAACCGAGGTGGGAGACGCCGCTCCGACTCGGTGTCCACGGAGAGCACCTGGGACATGTGGAACCAGAGGCTGCTGGAGATTGAGAAGGAAGCTTCCCGGAAGTATCACTCCAGGAGCAAGAGGGAGGAGGTGGACACGAGCTCAGAGGTGGGGAGCCGGGTGCGGGAGGATGACGAGGAGAGTGTGTCCTCGGAGGCCAGCTCCTTCTATAACTTCTGCAGCAGGAACAAGGACAAACTCACTGCCCTGGAGAGGTGGAAGATCAAGAGAATCCAATTTGGATTTCACAAGAAAGACAGGGAGGCCGGGGACAGCAGCAGTGAGCAAGGTACAGAGGAGGCCGAGGGGGAGAAGAGCATCTCTGATGTCAACTTGTCGGCCTACCAGGCCTGGAAGCTGAAACACCAGAAGAAGGTGGGCAGTGAGAACAAGGAGGAGGTGGTAGAGCTCAGCAAGGGAGAGGACTCGGTCTTGGCCAAGAAGAGGCAACGGAGGCTGGAGCTGCTGGAGAGGAGCAGGCAGACGCTGGAGGAGAGCCAGTCCATGGGAAGCTGGGAGGCAGATAGCTCGGCTGCCAGTGGGAGCATCCCCCTGTCTGCATTCTGGTCCGCAGCCCCCTCAGTCAGTGCTGATGGGGACACAGCATCAGTGCTCAGCACCCAGAGCCAGAGCTCCCACGCATCTCAGGTTCTAAGCAACACCGGGGAATGCTTGGCATCCGCCCCCACCACACCTCTACCTAACCTGCCAGTGGGCCCTGGGGACACCATTTCCATCGCCAGCATCCAGAACTGGATCGCCAGCGTAGTCAATGAAACTCTTGCCCAGAAGCAAAACGAAATGCTGCTGTTGTCCCGCTCCCCGTCAGTTGCAAGTATGAAGGTGGCCCCAGCAGCCAGCTGTCTGGGGGATGACCAAGTCTCCATGCTCAGTGGACACAGCAGCTCCTCGCTGGGTGGCTGCCTACTGCCTCAAAGCCAGGCGAGACCCAGCCCCGACACGCAGTCCATGCTGTCCTCCCATACCACGCTGAGCTCCAGGGCTGCCGAAGGCACTGGGAGCAGAGTGAGGGGGACCAGCAAGCCTATCTACAGCCTCTTTGCTGACAACGTCAACCTAAAGGAGCTTGGCCGGAAGGAGAAGGAGATGCAGATGGAACTGAGGGAGAAGATGTCCGAGTACAAAATGGAGAAGCTGGCCTCCGACAACAAACGCAGCTCCCTTTTCAAGAAGAAGAAGGTCAAGGAAGACGAGGACGAAGACGTGGCTGATAGGGATGGGGACACTGACAGCGCCATAGGGAGCTTCCAGTATTCTTCCCGCAGTAATTCCCAGAAACCAGAAACAGACACCTCGTCCTCGCTGGCTGTCTCTGATAGCTATGGAAGTGGCAGCAGAGCTGGCAAAGAGATGGATAGCAGTATCAACAAGTGGCTCAGTGGCCTCAGGACAGAGGAAAAATCTCCTCCTCAGAGTGATTGGTCCGGAAGCTCCAGGGGGAAGGGCGCCAGATCTTCGCTGCTCCGGGAGACGGAGTCTAAATCCTCCAGTTACAAGTTCTCCAAATCCCGGTCAGAGGAGCAGGACACCTCGTCCTACCACGAGGCCAATGGCAACTCCGTAAGAAGCACTTCGCGGGTCTCTTCCTCCTCCACCAGGGAGGGCAGAGAGATGCACAAGTTCTCCAGGTCCATGTTCAGTGAGACCTCAAGCTCCCGAGAGGGAAGCCCAGAGCCCTACTTTTTCCGCCGGACCCCCGAGCCCTCAGATGAGGAAGAGCCCCCAGAACCACGGCATCCGACTGGGGCCAGACCCAGGGACTGGGAGGATGTGGAAGAGTCATCCAAGTCTGACTTTTCTGAATTTGGAGCCAAGAGGAAATTCACCCAGAGCTTCATGAGGTCTGAAGAGGAGGGAGAGAAAGAGAGGATGGAAAACAGAGAAGAAGGGAGGTTTGCTTCGGGGCGGCGGTCTCAGTATCGGAGAAGCACTGACAGGGAGGAGGAGGAAGAAATGGACGATGAAGCCATCATCGCTGCCTGGAGACGCCGGCAAGAAGAAACCAGGACTAAGCTGCAGAGAAGGAGGGAGGATTAGCTGGGCAAAGTGGATCTGGGAGAGACTGAGAACACAGGGAGCAGCCGCACGTGCTGCTAAGCACAGGGCTCAGGGCACGCATTGCCACAGCCCATCAAGGGACAAGCATGTGGAGAGGATCATACGGAAGGTGAAATGGGAGGTACCAGGTGGAAGGGCACCAGAGGTGGGGCAGGTGAGAGCTGAAGAAGAAGAAGAAGAGTCATAATATGAGGACCAACCAGACACCATTTCTGTCACTCAGTGTCCTCTAAGCTTCGGTGCTTCACTTATGGATTTGATAGAGTGTGTCACAGACCAGAGAGCTGAGCTTACAAAGGCACCGTAGTGTGTGGAGACTCCAGCTCACATCCAGGAAGGCTGTATGAATGCAAGGCATGGTTCTATTTGTAGAGGTTTTCTACAATGAGACCCAGGAAATCTATCCTGTGGCAAGTCTCACCTCTCCCAGCAAGGCTGAGTTCTGGTTGTTTCTTTTTAATGTTTTGCATCTCCATTAAAATTGATATGTTGTCAAATATTTCTTCTTCATTCTTTTAGCTCTTTGGATATTATGGGAAACCCACTTTAAGAGACACAGATGGGCTACCATGAGCCAGCCTCACCTTGTGCCACAAAAGCTGTGTCTCCAGACAATACCACTGTCATCTCATTGTGAAAAATAATAGCCAAGTATTTCGTCTGGGATACAACAGAGTGAGAAAACACTAGGAGGACCCTTGAGAGTAACAGAGGGAACTAAAGAAAGAAAGAACAGGTTTTATTGTGGTGAGAGTGGCAAGCTGTAGGTAGAGGGTCCCTCCGGAATGGCAGAAAAACAAAGCAAACAAAACATGAGGGAGAGAAGAGTACAAAGAGATGGAGGTGTATTTTCATGAAATCTTCTGGCCGTCCTTGCCTTTCATTCCTTGGAGGATCATGGGGCAATGCAGTGGCCAGACCATTTCATCCTTTCCTGCACTCTGGATGGGCTAGGTTGGTGAGATTTCTTTACCTCTTGTTCCCATGGGTTTCTGGCCCTCCAAACACAGTTTGACTTGCTGAAGCAAGAGGCATACCTTGGGTACCTACCACAAACATTGGTGGACTGTTTTCTACAGTTACTTCAAAGCTGCCACATCTTGCAGGATTAGAACACAGATGTGTGCCATGCAGGGGTCCAAGATGTCTTGATCAGTCAAAAAATCAAACTCATGAGACACAGTTGGGAGGGAAGAAGATTAAGGAGGACTCCACCAATGGGATGAATAGTAAGTGACCAGTCATCGTGTGATCATTTTCACTAAAAACTGAGTGTCAGGGATGTGGAGACAGTGTACCCTTCCTACGTGGGTTAGTTTAGCATCACATATTTCAGTGAGCACAAAGACAGAAGTACCAAGGCCAAAAGAGAGGACTTGAGCTCAAACCCAGACCTGCACGTGAGCTGCTGTCAGAGTAACAGTTAAATTGCACACCTTCCTCTAACACTTTGGCCCACAGTTCAGTTGCTGATGGTCCCCATCTCCCTTGCATGGCTGGGGGAGAATGAGGCCTTAGAAAACACTGCTCAGCCTTTGTTCCATTTGCCCCTTTCCTTCTTCCTTTGCTCATTTTACTTAGTCAGCCATAGTCCCTGGTTTCAATGCTCAGCAGGTCATCCTCATCATCCAAGATGGAGCTATTCTCATACACCCACTGCAAGAAGGCTGGCTGTGGCCCATTTTACCTTCTGGACGAGCTCAAGACCTCTTCTCTCGTTTCACCCCTATGAGGAGGTGTCTGATACAGGCACAGACATTCAATCGGGCATCCATTCTAGAAGATCAATCTTCTGGAGGGAGGAATGAGAATACCCTTGGGACAACAGCTCTCTTTTCCTTTTCCTAATCTTCTTACCTTGAATTATCTTGCAGTATTTGGAACAAGCCAAGTTCAGGGGCAAATAGACTGAATTAACTGACAGACCAGCTAAGCAGCTGCCCCCAGTGCGCATCCATATGGAGCCAGTTAACTCAGATCTCTACACATGTCTTTTTTTTTTTTTCAACCTAACTGAAAAATAAAAAAATTGATCTCAACCATATCAAGAAATAAAAAAAAAATTCCTCGTCAATCCTAATACCCCTCTGAATGGATATTGAGCAAACATGTAAAGCGTCTTGGTTTAAAGAGCCACCCAGTCTTTCTCCAGCCCTCAGTGTGAGCCTGATGGCAACAGACCAAAGAGACCAGCTGGCCTGCTTTTATTGAGCTCCTAGGCTAGAGGAGTAACAAGGGCCCGCATGGCCCATGTATGGACCAGCTCAGAGGAGGAAACCCAAGAGCAGCCAGGGTCAAGACCTAGAGAAAAGCCTTTGCTTGCTGTATCTCCAAGAATAGCTTCTTTAGGATCCTGTCCTCAGATTCTGAACTCTGCTTATTCCTGGGGTCCAGAGTGTATTTTGGTAGACCACACCAATGGAAATTTTATGTGAGTTATAACGAGCTGGAAGGAATAACTGGGATTTGAAGTGTTCGGATCCCAAGAGTGAGACCTAAATGAGACCTAACCTAGGTTGACAGGCTGCACTCCAGCCTTCCGGTCTCTGAATGACGTTAAAATGTAGAGGGAAAAAAAAAAGTTAGGTAACGTGTCAGTAACGGTCCCAGGACACGGCACACCCAAAGCGGTAAGTGACGAGAGCTCGGTGGACAAACTTTATAGAGGCACGAACAGGGTGAAGGGATCAGGAAGGAAGAGTAAAGCACGTGGGTGCGAGAAGAGTGAGCTATTGAGAGCGCCCTAGGACTGAGGGGGCAAAGTCAGGGAGCTGTTTGCAGAGCCCAGCAAGAGCCTTAGCCACAGGAGGAGGGCCACCCAGCAGGGGAGCTGGGCGAAGGAATACCCTGACCTCTCTCTCCTCCTGGATCTCTGTCTCACCCTAGTAACTCTCATTGGCCAAACCTAATTGGAACCCAGGGGATGGGAGAGCCCAGAGTCTGGAGAAGAATGAAAAGTAATCTGTGAAGGGGGGGCGGGGGATAGGGAGCAGAATGGCCAGCGCGGAGGTTAATACATTTTAATGGAAAGGCCACCTCGGCAGAGCCTTTCCGATGATGTTGTTTTAAATGATTGGGAACGGTATGCGCTGAACACAGATCGATTCACTCTTAAGAATTAATTAACGACTGGCATAGGGCTTCAGCTACACAAAACCAACTAACAGAGTCAGTGATTTTGTTTTACAGGAAAGAAAAAGAGGAGACAGATCTGAATCAATGGCCCGCGTCTACTCCTGAGTTGTATAAAGAGCTCACTAGGAGTCTCCCACGAGGGGAGAATCGTGTACAGAAGGGGGCCCTGTAAGAGCAGAAGCCCTGCAGAGAATTCTGAGGTGGGTGGTGAAAGAGAGAGGAGGACACATTTTTTTTTCTTTTTCTACCCCCAAGGGGAGGCCCTGGTGGGGAAATGATATCACAGAGTCTGTGAAAAAACAAGGTGGCTCAGAAGCACCCAGCAGGAAGCAGAAGGCACTCTCAAATTAGGGTAATTCAAAAAGAACCATTCACAGAGGTGTGGACAGGATGTTGCGGCAGAGTGTGCACCCCAGGGCTAGGGGTTAGATCCCTGCGCCCAGAAAGGCCAGAGCAGGGAGCTGTTATCAGAACCCTAGAGACAGAGGGGACTGTGTGGAGGGGGCTGTCTTACAAGAGCTGAGACCTTCGGTCTAGGGAGCCAGCTTGAAAGGACCCAAGGGAAGGAGCCTGACTTCAGCCTCCACCTCCCACCAGCCCCCCATCTCCCGAAAACAAAATCCAGAGGGAAGGTAGTTGGTGCATGCAGTCTACTCAATCAGCCTCATGGGGCACCAAGGAGGGTGCGGAAGGGTGGACCATGGATCTGGAAGGGCCGACAGAAGTTACCCAACAGCAAGGGCAAAATTTCAGGCCAGTGCTCCAGTTATTCTGTGATATATTGTTGATGCTGGGTTATGAAGACTCTGCTTTTAGTGTTTGGAATATCACCAGTAGAGGGAATATGAATTTCTCTGGACTCCCTGCAACCTTTATCCCTGGTGTTATTAACCAATGCCAATTAAATAACTTCTTGCCACACAACCTGCCGAAAACATGCTAAACAGAGTTGCCCCTGTGAGAAGAATCCTGAATACAAATTCATACTATTCTTAGGATCATCTTTGAGTTTTGGTTCAGGGCTCATGTTTTAAAGCATTGTCTCTTTTCTGTGTCAGCTTCCGTTGCTATGCAGGATGCCTGCTTTCTATTTCAGGTGCCGACCAGAAACCACCTCCCCATCCCTGCCACACACACACTCACAAGTGAATTTCATGTAAAACCTATACTTTAACTCATAACATCTCCCCAAATGCCTGTCAAATTTAGTGTAAGTCCATCCAGACTATTTTTGCATGTGAAGGTAACTAGCAACATAGTTTTATTTTTATAGGTTCCAAACACCAGCAACTCTCATTTTTGGACACGGTGGCCCCCACCAGCATCTATGAGCAGGTGTGCATACCGATCAGCTGCTGCAGCAGCTCAGCCACCCACTGCCAGCCACTCAGTCACCGGATCCTGAGTGGACCTGGCCCCTCAGAGTGAGTGGCAGATCCACTTGGTTTAGCTTCTTCTGGCCTTAGGTTCCTGGACACAGAAGCTGGATTCAGTTTTGGTGGCAACCAAGACAAGTGGCTGCAACCAATAATTCAATTTAGCTCAGTTTGATAAACATTTCTTGAATGCCAGCCTTGTCCTAACACTGACCCGGGCACTGTGTTATCCAGAGGACATGCTCCATGACATAAGGGAAGATGGAGACAGTCTTGAGTCAGAGAAAGTGCCCAGTCCCTTGTGAAAAAGGATTTTTGAAAAACTGCCCAGGTTAGAGAACCTTCAAGCTCCCTGGGTCTGAGCTCACTAGTGTGCCAGGTGTATCAGAACAGCACCAACCACTGAACTTGGAACCTCACCGCTGAGTTTGTCACCTCCTTTCCCTCTTCCATCACCTGAGCCGGGTGATTCTGCCCAGTGCGGTTACTTTCCTTATTCCGTTATCACCACCTCTTCCATAAACCTGGGCTCTTACCCACCACCAGGCGATTGCAGCCTCATTTCCTTTCCAGCTAGTCTAGAAGCAAATTAATCTTCAAGTTCACAATTCTGGTGCTTTATATTCTTCTGCTTAAAAATTTTAATGGCTCCCGATTGCGTATG